CCTGTAACTATAAAACTCTTACAAGAAAATATAGGCAACACACTATTTGACATAGGTCATAAAGGAATGTTTTTGGATGACATGCCTACCCAGACTAGGGAAACTAAATTAAAAATAAGCATGTGGGACTTTATCAGATTAAAGAGCTTCTACAAGCTAAATGAAACCAGAATCAAGATGAACAGACAACCCACCAGCTGGGAGAAAATATTTGTAAAATATATATCTGACAAGGGGTTAATCTCGATAATATATGAAGAACTCACACAACTGAACAACAAAAATCAAACAACCCAATCAAAAAATGGGCAGAGGAAATGAACAGACACTTCTCCAAAGAAGATATACAGATGGGCAATAGGCCCATGAAAAGATGTTCAACAACACTAATCATCAGGGCAATGCAAATCAAAACAACACTCAGATATCACCTCACGCCCATTAGAATGGCTATCATCATCAAGACAAAAAACCACAAATGTTGGAGACGATGTGGAGAAATAGGAACACTCATACACAGCTGGTGGGAATGCAAACTGGAGCAGCCTCTATGGAAAACGGTATGGAGATTCCTCAAACAATTAACAATAGTGATGTCCTATGATCCAGCTATCCCATTACTGGGAATCTATCTAACGAACCTGAAATCAACAATCGAAAGAGGCTTATGCACCCCTATGTTCATTGCAGCATCATTCACTACAGCCAAGAAGTGGAAGTAACCTAAATGTCCCTCGACTGATGACTGGATCAAGAAGATGTGGTATATATATGCAATGGAATACTACTCAGCCATAAAAAAAGACAAAATTCTCCCATTTTCAACAACATGGATGGGCCTGGAGGGTATTATGTTAAGCGAAATAAGCCAGAAAGAGAAAGACAAACACTGTATGATCTCACTCATATGTGGAATATAAACCAACACATGCACAGGGAAAACTGTATTGTGGTTACCAGGGGCAATGGGGGTAGGGGGTGTGCTTGAAGGGAGACATATATATGGTGATGGACAAACAAAAATGTACAACCCAAAATTTCACAATGTTATAAACTATTAAAACATCAATTTTAAAAAATGTGAAAAAAAATATATTCAAGAACCTGGTTTAAAGGAAAGAAAAAGAATAAAATACCTGGAAACCAATTTAACCCAAGAGGTGAAAGATCTGTACACTGAAAAATATAAGACATTGTTGAAAGACGTGAAGAAGACATAAAGAAATGGAAAGATATTCTGCATGGATTGGAAGAATTAACATAGTTAATATACCCATAATAGCTAAATCAATCTACAGATTCAATGCAATCCCAATCAGAATCTCAACACCATTTTTGAAGGAAATAGAAACAAGTATCCTAAAATTTATACAGAACAACAAAAGACCCTGAAGAGTCAAAGCAGTCCTGAGAAAAAAAGAAGAGAGCTGGAAGTATCACACTCCCTGATTTCAAAATATGCTACAAAGCTATAGTAATCAAAACACGTGGTACTGGCAGTAAAACAGACACAGATCAATGGAATAGAACTGAGGGCCCAGAAATAAAACCTAGTATCTACAGACAGCTAATTTTCAACAAAGGAGCCAGGAACATACAATGGAGAAAAAAAGACTTCAATAAATGGTGTTAGGAAAACTGGACAGCCACATGCAAAAAATGAAAGTAGACCATTATCTTACATCAAACACAAACATTAACTCAAAGTGGATTAAAGACTTGAATCTAAGACCTGAAACCATAGAACTCCTAGAAGAAAACATAGGTAGTATGTTCTTTGACATCAGTCTTAGCAGTATACTTTTGAATATCATGTCTCCTCAGGCAAGGGAAACAAAAGAAAAAATAAACAAGAAAAAGAAAAAATAAAGAAAAGAAACAAAAATAAACAAAAGAAAAAATAACCTACCAAGCTACTGCATAGCAAGGGAAACCATCAACAAAATGAAAAGACAACCCACCAACTGAGAGAACATATTTGCAAATCATTTATCCAATAAGGGGTTAATTTCCAAAATATATAAAGAACTCATACAACTCAACACACAAAAAAACAAACAATCGAATAAAAAAATGGGCAGAGGAAATGAACAGAAATTTCTCCAAAGAAGATATACAGATGGCCAACAGGCACATGAAAGATGTTCAACATCATTAATTGTTAGGTAAATGCAAATCAAAACTACAATGAGATATCACCTCACACTCATCAGAATGGCTATTATTAAAAAGACAAGAAATAACATGTGTTGGAGAGGATGTGGAGAAAAGGGAACCCTCATACACTGCTGGTGGGAATGCAAACTGGTGCAGCCACTATGGAAAACAGTATGGAGATTGCTCAAAAAATTAAAAAGAATACCATATGATCCAGCTATTCCACTTCTGGATATTTATTCAAGGAACATGAAAATACTAATTCCAAAACATATACGGACCTGTATGTTCATTGCAGTGTTACTCACAATAGCCAAGACTTGGAAGTGACCCAAGTGCCCATCAATGGATGAATAGATAATGAAGATGAAGTATATATATAGGGAATACTACTCAGCCATAAAAACAACAAAATCATGCCATTTGTGACAACATGGATGCACCTTGAGTGTATTATGCTAAGTGAAATAAATCAAAGGAAGACAGACAATTACTGTATGACTTCAGTCATATGGGGAAAATAAACAAAGAAACACATAGATAAGGAGAACAGATTAGTGGTTACCAGAGGGGAATGGCGTGGGGGTGGGGGTGAAAGGAGTAAAGGGGCACATATGCGTGATGATGGATAAAAAGTAGACTATTTGCGGTGAACAGGATATAGTCTATATAGAAGCTGGAATATAATAGTGTACACCTGAAATTTACACAACGTTATAAACCAAAGCGACCTCAATAAAATAATTTTTTTTAAAAAAAGCAAAATTCACTCTGGTGAGAGTGTAGAAGGTGGATCGGAAGGGGATTGGGGCTTGTGGGGCAGATGGGGAGGCTGGGAGGTTGTTACCCAGGGTAGAGAGGCGAACAGAGCAGCAGACATTGAGAAGAGAGAATGAACCCAGGGCCATGTTGAAGCAAAGCCAGGCCTCCAGGCGGAGTTCCTCCTGAGTTTCTTGGGGTGCAACAAGCTGGGGAGACCTTTGAGCAGAAGCACACAGTGCACCCTGGAGAGATGAACCTCTGCCCACCCTCCCCTGTGCCAGCACAGGACAGCCTTGACCTGAACTTTCCCACCTGGCACCCGTCCTGCAGCAGCCAGGGGGGTTTCTAGCCTGACTCCAAGTCCCCCAGGACACCAGTTTGGTGCCTCTCAGAGTTCTGGGAGGCTTGGGAGCAACTCTGCCCTGTGCATGTGTGTGTGTGCTCGTGATGTGGGTGTGTGTGCTCATGGGTGTGTGTGTGTCAGAGAGAGGGACGGAGAGAGAGAGTGAGTGCGTCCACTATGGACAAACCTGTCTCTTACCAGCTGTGGGAACACGGGTGGTTACTTCACTCCGAAGCTCTAGTGTCCTACCTGTAAGCCAGGAACAATAGCTAACATTGGTCCAGCGTTTATTCTGGGTCAAGCACTATTCCAGGTGTGTACTGTGCATTAACCCTCACATTTACACACACTCCTCACAAGTCCATGGTTTCAGAACCTTCATCATCTCCTTTTTACAGAAGAGGAATCCCAGCCACAAGGAGGGTAACAGACTGCCCCAAAGTCACACGGTGAATAATAGGCAGAGCCTGGTGTGAACTTGCACGGCCCAAACCACCCATTCTTAACCACTTTGCAGTGCCTCATGGAATGCGATGAGAAGTCAATGGAACAAAGCACAGCGAGCACCTAGCACAGCGCCAGCTCAGTGAAAGGTCCTAATAAATCCCGCTGTTAACTGCCCTGGTCAGCTGCTGTGAGCGTGAGCTCTGCACAGCCGTCTGCACGCCTGTGTGCCTATGGAAGATTCTGCACACACAGGCGTGGATGTGTACGCACAGGACTGTATGTATGTGCAAATGTGTGCCCGCTGCAGGGGCTCAAGAAGGAGCAAGCTGGAGCCCCTTTGCACACCCAAAGAACACCTTAGCACTGGGGCACACGAGACCTAAAGCCAGAGAGGAAGCCACACAACCACAGAGAGGACAGTTAATGAGTACCCCCTGGGGGAGGGGCTGCCCTGGAACTGAGCTGCCAGGGCTCCTGAGGCAGCTGCTGAGCCAGGCTCTGGTGTCACAGACCTTCATGGATAGCCCTTCCGCAGGACTCTGTGGACACGAATGCTGACCAGTCCCTCTCCACGCCCCCAGAGTGCCGGGTGTGCAGGAACTTAGGCCATGAGGTGCACAGACTGCTACATCAGAGTCCTCAGAGAACCAGTTGTTAAGATTAGGTTCCAAGACCCTGCCCGAGCAGGACCTGACTCTGGGTCCTACGACCCTACAGTGTGGGCCTCCCATGGGCCCCCAGGGGCCCGGGCTGAATAAGCCTGCAGGCTGGGAACAAGCACTCTGTTCCAAGTCTTACGCACATCAAAGTCTGAGCAGCCCTGCTCCAGGGGAGGGACTGGGACACGCAGCTTTTGAACAGCCTCCCCAGATAACTCAGGAAAGTTGGACATCTGAATTAGGAATGAACAGTGAAGTGAAAAGACACCCAGATACCCAAGAGGTCAGCCTTCTTGCTCTGGCTCTGCTTCTAACACTTGGTCTGCTCGGACAACTCCTTCCCCTCTCTGGGCCTCAGTTTCCCCATCTGCACAATAAGAAGGTAGGACTCTGTTGCCTGTAGGCTCCCCTTCAATCCCAATATTCTATGATTCCATTCAATATCTTTAAAGACAGAATTCAATTCAGAGGTGACAAGGAAACAGCAAAGCAGCAGACTCAGGAGGCCAAGCACATTGCTCATAAGATCACAAATGGCAAAATCCAAGGAGTAATCAAAGTCCCATGGACCCCCGGAGTCTGCCCACGGACCACAGATCCAAGTCCCCATTGTCCAAGAGTCGTTGCCTCACCTGCAGGACAAGGCTGATAGCCATGGCTTTATAGGAATAGGGGGCAGAGGAAATGCCAAAGGCCACGAACAAGGCCACGGCCAGGGTCATCAGGTTGGTCATGAGCTCCAGCCTCAAGGCCACCCATGGCGTGGAAGACAGAAACATCAGCAGGTAGTTATTCTGCACATCAGTCAGCCTTTTAAACCTGAGAAGAAAGGACAGCCTGAACTCCACTTGTGTTTGTCCAACCCAGGGTTTCCGGAGGGTGGACACTGGTTGCTTCCTCCAGCATCTGGCTCCCCACCCCCCGCCAACAGAAGCCGACTTCTCCCTGGGGGATTCCTCTCTACCCCTTTCTCAGCCATGGAGTTGACCCAGCCCAGATCCAGCAGGAGGCTCTGACTGACTTAGGCCTGTCAGCTCATGTCTTCCCCTGGCCTTGACGATGGGTTCAGAATGGCTAAGTTACCCTAACTGGGCCAGTAAGAGTGAACCAATGTCAGGACTTGGGGGTGAGAGAAGGGGAGTGACCCCTTCCGAGTACCCATCCACCTCAGCGCGGGGCTGTCTGTCCTGTTCACTGCTGTATCCCAGTGGGCAGTGAGCACCTGGTAGGCTCTCAGTGTTGACGGAATGCAGGCATCACTCCAGGATCCCTCAGTCCTGGTGTCCGCAGCCCTCGGGTGCTCCCGCAGGCCACTGGGAGAGCTGGTGCCAGATTCCTCCAACATTCCAGTTAACTGAGCACACACCACCTCGCATGCCCAAATCTTACCAGGCTTCAAGGTCAGCTCAGATGCCTCCCCCTCCCCAAAGCCTTCCCTGATCCCCTGGGCTGCAGGGCACCTCTTTCCCCTCTGAATTCATATGGCATTTTATCTGCTGCTGTCCTCTACTGTCTATCACCTTCAACCCTGAATCATTACAGAAATGAGTGTCTGTGTCTCCTGTCTCCCACCAGTTGTGAGCTTCTTGTAGTTCAGTGCAGATGATGCTGGATTTACCTTTACAGGCAGATCAGTTCATATGACACAATTAAGCCTCAGCAACAATGATAGGATATTTCTTGTTTCAAAAAACATTTAGAAGGCAAATGTATGAATAGCGAAGGGAATTCTGTTATTTAGAAAGATATTGCTCCTATCATTTTATTAAAATTAGATACCTGTTTGCAAGTGAAAGAAAAAACACCACAAGAAGTGCTGACATGGTAGTACTTCTATTCATTATATTAATACATGTATTAATACATGTATTAATATAATGCATACATGTATGCAGTATCCACAGTATCCACAGGTCTTTAAGGTATACAGACATTTTCCACATCACTTACATTGTTTATTCTTATAAGCATCATCTTACAAATGAGGTTCTGGAGGCTCAGAGAGATGAACAGAATAAAGCAGTGTTCTCTCTGATTCTTCTGAAGATGACACTATTCCCAGATTCTCTCTTCCCTACCTTCCTGCTTCCCCTCCCCACCGTCCCCATCATCCTCACATGGCAGCAGAAGCACTCACTCCTTGATGAAGTCTTCAGTTTTCCCATAGACATGGATGGAGCTCAGGCCATGCAGAGAGGTGAGGATGTGGGAGAATAAAGGGGAGCGGCTATAGTTCTCCAGTCTCTTGAACACATTGATGGCCCTCTTGAACATCCTGCATCGAGAATGAGAGTGAGTGACCTGGGCCATCCACCACAGGGACCACCCAGTTCTAAGTTGATCCCAGCCTCTCCCTCCATTCACAAGCGAAAAGAACCCACTCACAGGTAATAAATGAAGCCAACAATGGCTAATCCGACTCCTGTCAGCAGGATGTATGGAGACAGCACACTGACAACCACCAGGGTGGAGATCACAGCTAAAAACACCAGCAGGAACTGTTCAGCAACAATGGGCAAGAATTGGTCCAGCTCATCCAAGTCCCCCACAAAGCAGTTCAGGAGTCGCCCTCTTGGGGTCGTGTCAAAGAAACTCATGGGACAGCGAGACACCTGCAGGGACAAAAGCAACACAGATCATGAGAGTAGCTGCAGGCCGTGCTTGGGACTCGAAGATGTCAGTTACCCTTAGGCTCTGAAGAGGTGCAGGATGCAGATAAGGGGTGTCCAGGGGAGGCAGGGTAGAGCAATGGTTAAAGGCGTGGGCTACAGAGTCAATGTGCCTGGATTGCAATGCTGCCTGAATCCTGCACCTCCCACTGTGTGACCTTGGACAAGTTACTTAACCCCTCTGAGTCTCAGGGTCCTCATTTGTAATTTGGGGATGATAACGATGCTTCACAGAGTTGTGGTGAGGATTGTACAACTCTGCAAATATGCTAAAAACCTTTGAGTTGTACAGTTTAAAAGGGTGAATTTTGTGTTCAGGTGAATTATATCTCTAGCTACTATTTAAGAAAGAGAGAGGGAAGGAAGGAAGGGAAGGAGGAAGAAGTAACACAACAAAAGTGCTCACAACGGTACCTGCCCCTGGCAAGCATCCCATTAATACCAGCTCTTATTATTTTCTACAGGTGGGACCGATTTCACTCAGTATCACCAAAATCAACAGCAGCAGTTCCACTGAGATTGATACGACTGGGCGACTGGGGTGAATTTAACCCTGACTGCCCTTCTCGAGGGTGGCATCCTGACTTGATCTCTAAAAGCAGTGGGCAGGAGGCCCTCTGGAGCTCACAGGGCATTGCAGACTGGAAGGGCTCTACCAAAGCATCGACTTTGCGTCCTCATTTTACAGATGAGGAAACAGGCCCAGAGAAGGTGGAGCAGCTTAGTGGTTTGCTCAAGGTCACCCCGGTAGTTAATGACAAAACCTCTACTGCACCAGGCCTCCCATGGCTTCCCCAGCCCCCAGCACAGACAAGCTCTTTACGGTCGGCATTTCTTACAGGCTCATGACCCTGCCCTGCTGAGCAGCAGACCACTCCCATCTCCCTGTGTAATCCTCAAGCGGAGAGCAAGAAAAAGACATGAGTAGAAGTTAGTAGTATCTATTGGGCCCAAACCTAAAGGGGGGAATGAGAGGAGGAGGTGGGGGAAGCACAGCTGACGGAGAATAAACAGTAATTATGTGAGTCAGGAAGTGTCCTGACAGCAGCTCTCCCTGCAAATGCCTGGATGGTGCTGCCTGAGCATAGTTCACACTCACATTTGCTCTCTAAGGGCGTGGGAGGCATAGTGACAGGCAGAGGGGCAGATTAGGAGATTCCTCGCTTTTCTGCCTCTAAATTATCTTTAATTTGATCTCCAGAATCTTTTGTTAATAAATGAGCAAAAGCAATAAGAATTGTCACAGTCACTTCAAGAAACCAGAGAGCAAAGCAGTGCCCCTCCAGGACTCTGAGCACTCACGGGGGTGGGTGCAGGGAGAGGGCACAGGAGCGGAACTCAGTTCAGCTGTGGTGTGATAAGGCCTCCTTGTGAGAGCCCCCTGTCACTCAAGATTAGGGACAATGGTAGACACACGGAATGGGTTTCTGGTAGCCTCCTAAGTGTCAAAATCATCTGTTTTGGGTTTTGTTTTTGTAGCTTGTCTGTTGTTTTTGCACTTGAGCCAATTTTCTCAGAGATTTGTCCTTCTGATTATTTAAAACTACAAAGGCAAATTTAAAATCAATAAAGAAATAAAGGACAAAAAAGAAAGTATTTTAAATGCAAAACATATTTCTTAATGGAAAAAAACTTGAAAATCTCTCAAAATTAAAATACGAATCTTTTCGAGGCCTAGGCACTGGATATTCCTAGAATCTGGGAGTGTGGAGTCGGAACCTTAGAGACCACCTAGCTGGTGCCACCACCACAGGCCCGCCCTTGGGCAGAATTTCCCTCTCCTGCTTTCTGGTTCCATCAAGCCCATTGCTTTATCTGAGATGTGGGGAGATGCCTCCACCTCATCCTCCCAACATTGAAACACTGAATGTCAACACAATTGGCGTCTACGAGGAATGATGGGTACCCTCCTCACTTCCTGAGAACTCCTACTCTCCCCTCTGGGCTCCAGCCTTCCTGAACTCTATTGAATCCCTGGAAATGCTCCGCTTCTGTTCACCTCCTGATCCTGAGCTGGCGAATCCGATTCATCCTGAGGTCTTAGCAGAGAGGTCTCTTCCTCCAAGAAGCCTTCTTGGACTCCCAATCTTCCTTCCACCACCCCCATGCTGGGGCTAGTGCCCCTTATGTTCTTATGGCTCTGTGTGCCCCCACCCTGTGGGTAACTTTGCACACCATGTTACAACAGCCTGTTTTCTTGTCTGTCTCCCTCATTAGACAATGAGGCCATGATGGCCTGAACCATACCTGCATAGTTCATTCACCATTGTAAGCCCAACGCCCACCACAGAACCTAGTGCATAGTATATTTGATGAATGAGAGAGAGGAATGACACTTCCAAGAAGCCGTGTGATACCACAGACAACGTGACATTCTAACCACAGCACATATTCTAACCATAACACATGAGGGATTTCAGTTTTCTCATTTGTAAAATGAGGATAATAATACCCACTTCAAAGGGAACTTACGGCAGTTACAAGTGACTCTAGATGTGACAGTTCCGAGCCAAAGGACGCCAGCATTGGTGTGACCACTGACCCTCCAGCAAGGGACACTGAATGCTAGAGTCACATTTCCAGGAGCAGAGAGCTACAATGCACTCACCTCATTCTCTGGCCTCGCCCACCCACCTAGTGACCAGGGAACACTTGCAACTGTATGACCTTCTGGAAAAGATAAAACTATGGAGACAGTAAAAAAGATCAGTGGTTGTCAGGGGTTTGGGGGAAGGGAGGGATGAATAGGTGGAGCACAGGGGATTTAGGGCAGTGAAGCTATTCTGTATGATACTTAATGGTGGATACATGTCAGCATACATTTGTCCAAACCCATAAAATATACAAAACAAAGAGTGAACTGTTAATGTAAACTATGGACTTTACTTAACAATAATAATAATATTGTATCAGTATTGGCTCATCATTTGTAACAAATGCCCCACACTAATGCAAGATGTTAATAATAAGAGAAAGTAGGGGTGGTGGTGAGGCATATATGAGAACTCTCTCTCTTTTCCACTCAATTTTTCTTAAACCAAAAACTGTTCAAAAAATAAACACTAAAAAAAAAAGGGGCAAGGTCAGAGTTCACCCTGTGGCCAGGCCGAGTGCCCAGGCCCATACCTTGTTGAAGAGCTTGTTGTGCAATGCTGTGGATGCCTTCCTCGTGACCTTGGTGAAAGCCCCCGAGGAACAGATTGCAGTGCAGATTAGGAACAGGGTGCTGAGGCCATACACCAGTTGGTAAAAGGGCAGCTGAGGGTTGTCCAGGATGTCACCTGAGTCTGCAGTGGTCCTGTTGCTCTCTCGGCTGCTATTGGTCTTCAAGAAAGAATAGGGGGTGTGGAATGATGAGAAATATATTTCCTAAGAGAGAGGGGTGCTCAGAGCATCTTTTGTTCTAATATTTGCCCTTGACTCTGGTTCCTGACAGAGAGCTTCTAAGTCCCTTGGAGTCTTTGGAGCAATAGTAGTGCCTTTTTGTAGCTAAAGAGATGACTGGTGGCTGGGGGCACTTAGACAGCTTCAGGATGGGGCCTGGTCACCAGAAAGAACACACCATGAGTAGAAGTTTGGAACTTTCAGCCCCACTCCCATCATCCGGGGAGGAGAGAGGCAGTGGTGATTAAGTTAAGAATGGATCATGCCTACAGGATGCAGCCACCAAAACAATCCCTAAAGCACAGCGTACAGAGAGCTTCTGGGTTGTTGAACACATCCATGTGCCAGGAGGGTGGTGCACCCCAACTGCATGGGGACAGATGCTCCTGCACTCAGGACCCTTCCAGACTTCACCCCATGTACCTCTTCATCTGGCTGTTTATCTGTATCCTTTACTATATGCCTTATAACAAACCAGTAAAACTTTCATGAGTTTTGTGAGCTATTCTAGCAAATTATCAAACCTGATGGGGGGTCATGGGAAGCCTCAATTCGATTCATCAGAAGTACAGGAGGTCCAGACTTGTGATGGGCATCTGAAATGGAGAGGTCTTGTGGGACTGAACCCTTAACTCATGAGGTCTACACTAACTCCAGGTAGGCAGTTACAGAATTGAATTGAATTGTAGCACACCTAGCTGGTTTCTGGAGAGAAGTAGTATTGGTTGATGTGAGGTGTAGGTGAGGAAAAATTTCTCTTCTACCATTCTTGGTTGTGTAGCTGGTCAAACAATTGAAATGACATAAGACAGGTTAACAGGAGAAAAACAAATTTAATTTTGTATGTGTGGGAACTCCAAAGATAGGAGGCTCAAAAGGCAGCCAGGTAATTGAGGCTTACATAACATCCTGAGCTAAGGAAAGGGGTGGGGTTTGGGGGACACAATGGGAAGGAAGGCCATTCACAGGAAGGTGAGAGGAGATGTTTGCAAAACAATGTTGCATTGTTTTGTAGAGACATTTCTTAGGTAAAAAGGTATCTCTAGTAATAGCTCTCTGCCTGGTACAGGGCCCCTTTCCAACATAAATTTAGGGAGTTGTGGGGAAGGTGGAGATCTCTTCCTGAATCTACAGTTTGGATTGCCTTTAGCTCAAAATAATCCTCATGCTAAACTGGCATATTTTGGGTCACATATTCTGCTACCCCTCAGAGAAAACCTGCACATTGGATATCAGAAGCCTTGTGTGCAAATAGAGGAAAACAGTGAGCGAGGGGGTCAGACCACCTGAGTCCAGGGTGAAATTCAGCCGGGAGAAGAAGCCTTCTCCCTGGGGCCACGGAAGACTCAGTAGCTGGTACAAGGTGAAACTATATGTTACAACCTTCCTGCTCGGTTCTTTTGCTTTCCCTTCCTCTCCCTCGCCCCTGCCCTGCCCTGGATTAGGCCCGCATCGTACGTCCCCTGGACCACTACTACAGCAGCCTAACTGGTCTGTCTCCCTGACTCCGGCTCTTCCCTCCACTCCGTCACCCACTTCACCCTGATTGTTCCTATCAGTGGCCTCCTTGCTTCTGTCAGGGTAGAAACAGCTTGACAGTTTCCTTCGCTCTATGGTGTTAGAAATTGGTGCTTGATTATCATCCAGCAGCATCCCTGCCCCTTCTACACTCTCCACTGCAATGCAGGGGAAGCTTGAGAACTCGGTTTCCGAGACTCCCTGCCAGCATGATCTCAGGTTAGATTCTGCCAAGGAGACCCACTCATGGGAGGAGAAGCCATCACACGCTGGTGGCAGCTGTGGCAGGTGTGTGGCACATGGAGTTTGGCCAGTGGCTTGCAGCCGTCCTTCTGAGAATCTGCCACTTCAGTGCGGCCTGCTGCTGAGATCACTGGAGCCCACATCTCCCATCTCCTCCAGCCCCTCCCGTGCACGTGTCGCCTCGAATTCCTATGTTAAATCTTTGGAAGCTCTAAAGACTTCAAGTGGCTTCTGATTTCCTGACACAAGACCCAGATTTAACCATGTAGAGCACTGGAAATCATGGCTTGGATTCAGAGCACCAAGATCCAGTCCTGGACCTGCAAGTCCCAGGGCAGTTCTTCGTTCTCTCTTGGCACAATTTCCTCACAGTTAAAATGGGGACAGTGATACCTCGGAACATGGGGAGATTAGTGAATTAACCAGGCACATAATGGCTGAGAGCTGCAGAACTCTCAGTGCAGAACAACTCCCCCCAGACCCCTGCACTGAGAGACTCGACCAAACTCTAGCATGTGTCCTTCTAGAGCTTCAGGCGTGTCCCTAGGATGACCTCAGACCCCCACCCCATTAGAATGCTGCCTGAGGAGCTCAAATGCTAACAGGAAAATTGACTGCTGGGTCTGGCCAGCACCTGATGACAGGCCCGACCTCCCTTCCTCAGAGCACTTACTAGAAGGGCTCACAGTTGTGAACGTGTGTCTCTTGCAACTCAGAAGCATCTCTCTCCAGGACCTGGGAACCATTCTTTGAAATGTCATCATCAGGAAGGACAGGGCCCCTGCCTCCCAGTCTCTGTGGGAGGACAGACCCCTAACTTGGGTGACTGCCAGCTCACAGACACAGCTGCCCAGTCCCAGGGACACTCACCAACCCTTGTAGTTTTCACCTCCTGACTCTCCTGAGCCTGCCCTCCCCTGCCCTCCTTCTCCCTTGAAAACACCCAAATCACCTCTGCACAAATGAGAGTGGGGCTCAGCTCTCTCCCCTGCTGCCAGCAGTGACAGAGTCAAGTCTGTTTTCCCTGCTTTAACTGAAGTCAGCCATGTTCATCGTTGGAGTGGCCTCCCAGCCCCCAACAAGGAGTGCAGAGGCTGATGCTAAACAAAGCAGATCAAGAAGGCGAAACTGCTGCCAAAGGAAAACGTCACTAAGGTGGACTGTAAAGCATTCTTGGGAGCTGTTTGGGGACAGAAACCTCTTGGTTTTGTCCCAACGAGACTGCATAGGTGACTGCTCACTCTGAACTCAGGAGGACCGAGCCAGTGGGGAGGGAGGCCAGAAATCGGGCTCCCAGAGGTTCTCTCCAGACCTCCATTTGTCAACTTGGCAATGGAAGGCTCTGGGCTTGTCAAGGCCCTCATGGGGCCCCACGGAGGAACAAGCACCCCACTCCACACAAGCCCACAGAAACGCACCCCACTCCCACCACAGCACTCACCCCTGAGCCCTGCTCCAGCCAATAGCTCAGCCACCAGAAGTTGAAGGTCATGATGAAGATGAACACCACCATGAGAAGGAGAACCATGACAGAGACCATGTAGCCTGGGAGGCAGAGGGGTGAGACACACAGGTGCCACAAAAAGGTACATGGCAACTGCTGACAAAGCTCCTTGTCCCCCACAGCCCCTGCATCTCCCTGACCCCCATCCACCTGGGACACCTTGGAGGAAAGGAAAGAGCCGGGGTCTGAGGTCAGAAAGCCCTGGGTTTGATCCTGGCTCTACTACTTACAAGCTATGTGACCCTGGGTGAGGTACCAAATGACCGTGACATTCCACTTCCTCATCTATGACATGGTGACAGTCATACCAGCCTCGTGGGGTGGCTGGTAAGATGACACTACACTCCTCAGGGACGCCCATGGTGGAAGGGGTGGGGATGGTGATCTCCTATGCGCAGCCTGCCTCCTCCTCCCCCAGACAGGTAGAGAGGAAGACACACCTGACACGAGGTGGGTTCCATAGTCAGTGAAGAGTAAACGTTGGCATGGAGTCAAAATTACTCTCAAAAATCTCTTAAATTACTCACAAAATCCAGTGCCATATACTTGGTTTTGTGTTTACGACACTGTACGACTATATGTGTATGAATTTGGTAATGTACACCATTTAATAAAGCAGTAGCTTTGAAACTTCTAATTGCCGTCTGCCGTCAGAAATACATTTGAGTACCAGCAAAATAAAAGCCTCACCAGGGCTAGGATATTGAACACGTGCTATTTTCCATTCTTTTCTATCCCATTTCTTCAGCGCTGCCTACAATCCACTCAACTGATTTCACAACCCACTAGTTTGTAAAAATCACTGAAATGAAGAGTACTGCATTGAATGTATTTTCTTATTTTTTTATTCCTGAGCTCTGGTATTGGGGCCTTGGTCCTGGAGAGACCATCCTTCCCAGGGCCAGCTAATCCCTAGAGCCGGCAAACAACTCCCTGTGGGCGCACCTTTGATACACACCACCCGATCCACAGCCCACACTCCCAACCATCTCATTTATCAACTCTCACACACGAAGTCATTATTCTCCCTCCCTAAATCACCCCAGGGCTAGGTACCAGACAACTAGGGATCGCCCCTATAGCCCAGAGCACCCCCAAATTATTCAAACCCTCCAATCCTATGTTTACTCAGTGTACTCACACTGCCTCACCCACTCCATCCCCCAAACACTCCATTAAAGGCTCAGGGCCGTACTCTACCTTCTCAGCCCTCTGCCTCTGACCGAAGCTGGTGCTTCCCCATGTGGCCCTGCATGGTGTGCCACGTCTGCTGCTTCTAGGGATCTGAGTATAAACTTCTCCCTTCATGACAATAGTTTCCACATCTGCGTGTCTTACCGTACCTGATTAAAACCAATCGCAGGTACATTTTAACTCAAGTACTCATGAACAAATAACCTCCTGCATTGACTGAGGTGGTACAGTTACTATAACTGAGTGTGGTGCAAATGGGATGTGCAAGTTAAAACCATGAATGGCAGGACTTCCCTGCGTCTCTCGACCTCACGTGACCTCACACATTCCAGTCTGACCCAGCACGGACAGGGCTGGTCTGAGACAGAACCCCAGGCCTGGCATGGGCAGCTGACAGACCGTACCTCCAGCTGCCTGGATGTAGTGGTGGTAGACGCTCCATCTCAGGGACCCTTCTTCCATCTTCTCTGTCTGGGTGAGCTGATGTTCCAGCACTGGATCAGGGTAAGAGAAGAAGGAAATGGTATGCCTCCCAGTCTCCTGCATCTCCTTCTGGGGTCAAGAGGACTCCTTGCACAGCCTTCTGCTGCAGGGCCCCACCCAAGTCTGACTCTGACCAGCAGGTTTTCCCTGGAAGACTCTGCTGAAGGTAATCTTTGACCTGGACTCCAGAGTCTGGAAAGGGGTCCATCCCCAACCATGCAATAAATCCTGGAGGGTTTGGGCTTCTCAAGAGCTTCATGAGTTGAGAGAGGCAGCAGGAGAGAATGAAGAAAGCAATGACCTGGGACCAGAAACTTGTTCCAGAATTGTCATCACAGTACTGTGCAACCTCAAGCAAATCACTTAACCTCTCTGTTTCCTCATCTGACAACTGGCGGGCCTGTAGTAGATGGTTGCTAAGATGCTTGGCAGCAATACGCTTCTGAGACAACTCCTCAAAAACAGCTGTGACACCAGCCCAGGCCGACTCTTGGCCTAGAGCAGGGCAGGGAGACCAGTACCTGGAGATACCAGGAGATGCTGCTGATGACAACAACACGAGGCAGCACTGTGGGGTGACTGTTGTTTCTGCCTGACACTCTCCCTTCTAATAACAACACCCCAATTTTTCCTGGGGAAGCGGGCTCTTCCTGCATTTGAATCTGGAGGGAAATTACACTAGGAAGGAATACGTTTGGAGCAGGTTTACTTCCAAAAGACTCTGCACCTGTTCCTGCTACTGAGACCCCAAAGTTGCTGAGGCCTGGTTCTTCAACTTCACCTTTCATTCTGTGATCCACACCCTTCCTCCAGTTATTTTTCTGACCAAACCGATTTCTACCTTCACAGCTGAAGACACTACTGGTGACAGGAGCCTACAATGTGCCAGGCACGGTGCTGGGGCTTCCCCACACCTGACTCATCTAATCTCCACTACAACACTGCAAAGCAACCACCATTACCTCCACTTTTGCCAGTGAGGGTTCAGAGAGGTTCAGTTCTTTGGCCAAGGTCACACAGCTTTGAAGCAGCAGAGCTGGAATTCAAATCCAGAACATGTCTCACTTTAAAAATAAAGGCCTTTCTGTTCTGCTGCCCTGTCTCAAAAAATAGCAAGGCCTTGATCTCCTGGACGTGCAGAACTGGGCCCAAGTCATTTCTGATTTCTGACACTTTTGCTCTGAATATTTGCTCTCAACAAACATGTAATGAATAAATGTCCTAATGCCTTGCAAAGTTGTAAATTTACGCCACTCCAGGCCAGAGCTACCCCCAGCTTGCCTCTGCCTCTGCCCCTGCACACCCTCAGCTGTGCCCGCACAACACTCACTTCCTAGATCCTTCACACCCCACGCTCCTCAACTACTTGGATCTGTAACCTGTGTGTGTGATGTCTGGGATCCGGACACTGAGGGACATGGCCCTGTCCGGGGTCCAGGAGGGCATGCCAGGACCTCTGGGGGCACAGGCAGGCATGCAGACATTCTCGTCCCATCCCAGCACCATTACCAGCATTGTCAGGGAGAGGCTCTTCCCGGCAGGTGGTCTGGGCCTGACCTTCCACCTGAGGCTCTTCCGCCCTCTTTGCTGTGTCCTGCAGCACCTCCTGGGAGAAAGCACATGCCCTGAATGCAGGGGGCTCCTCCCCATGGGGCGAGAGGGAGGGGTGGGGTGGAAATCACCTGTGTGGCTTCCCGGAACATCTTCTGTATTAGTTGGCCATATCGCCCCTGTTTCTGTATTAACTCACTGTGAGTTCCTTTTTCACAGATTTTCCCATCTTCAAGCAAAATGATCTGGTCACAAAACTCTAAATACTAAAGAGTCAGAAGAAATAAGATCTTCAGTAAGCATATGAAAAGATGTTCAACTTGGCTATTCAAACGGAAAAGGTAAAAGTTAAATCATGATCAAATATTATTGATCCCATGGTGGGCAAAAGTTTAAACACTGGGAACCCCAAGCGTTGGTGACGATGGAGGTCAAGGGAACTCTAATAAAATGGGGGGAGGGGTGGAGATTGTTACAACTACTTTGGAAAACAATTTGACGATATGCCGTAAAATTAAAGATTTTGAAGAATTATGAACCAACAATTTGACTCCTAAAACTCTACCCTAAAACAACTCTCAAACCAGTGCAAAAAGACACACATAGAAGGATGTACACTGAAGCCTTTTTGTAAAAGTGAAAAATGTGAAAAACCTAAGTGTCCGTCCTAGAGAAATAAATTTTGGTATCTTCAGATGTTGGAATACTATGCCAGTGAGGATCAATTAGAGTTACGTGTATCAACAAGGAAGGTCTCAGAAATATAACGTTGAGTGAACAAAGCAAATTATCGAAGGACACAGTAAAATATCAGTTACATAAAGTTTTGAAATATGCAGAAGGACCCTGTCGTGTGCAGAGAGTCACACGTATGTTGTAAAAGGATGAAGATGTGCAGGGAACGATGGACAGGAAAGTGAGGAGAGCAGGAGGGAGGGAGCGGAATGCAATCTGACAGGGATCCTGTGTGGTTGTGGCTCTGCGTGGGAGACACGGGGGTTTTCATCAGATTACTGTCTACCCCTTTTTTATGTCTTAAATACTTTATATCAAAACAATAGTAAGGCCAAAACAGAGGAAGAGGGAGAAATGAGAGCAATGTCCTGAGGCCAAAACCAAGAATGAAAGTATCTAGGGAAAAGGACGTGTGAGAGGCAGCGGCAGGCACAGCCGTTGCACTCCAGGGAAGAAGGCGAGACTTGGGGAATTCTTCTCTGAGGGATTTTCTTCCTTTTTTTTTGTAACTTCAAAAGCAGGAGCCTGCCCATTTAAATTTGAAGATAAAGGAAACCTTAACATTTGGTTTCAATTTTTACCAGCCGCACAAATCTTTTGCCAGCCTATCCTGTCCACGTGGAAAGCAGAGGAAATGCACGTTCTTTGCACCACTGCCCGATTTGGGGTCCAGTCTGAGATGAAGGGGCAGCTGCTGTGAGGTTGTTACCGAATGACACGGACAGGGCAGAGCCTCGGGGATCTCCGTGACCCGTCAGGCACGGCCAGAGCCCGGGCAGGGTGGTCACCTGCAGCTGGTGGGTCACCAGGACCACGGTCTTCCCCCTGAGCTTCTTCTGAATGCACTCCTCAAAGATGTGCTTCGCCACGTGGGCGTCCACGGCCGACAGGGGGTCGTCCAGCAGGTAGACGTCGCGGTCAGAGTAGACAGCGCGGGCCAGGCTGATTCTCTGCTTCTGTCCCCCAGAGAGGTTGAGGCCCCGCTCCCCGATCTGCGGACAGGCAGCCAGACGCACCGTGTCTCAAGGGGGAGCACAGCCAGCTGTGCCCAAACCAGCCTGCTGGGCGGGTGTGACAGACTGAGCCCCCTCAGTGCACACTCCTGGACACCTGAGGATTTGGCACCCCTGGCATTTAAAAAATAGTTTTCAAAATGTGCTTAGTAGAGGATGAAAAAACTGATTTTCAGTTAATCAGAATTCTATCATTGACCATTAGATGCAGTTTCTCTAAACCTGCCAACTTTTTAGAAGGCATATTAAACCCTTAACAATTTAGATAAAAAAAGCGAATCATTCATGCCCAAGAAACGGCACCTTCTTACATCTTATTCGGGTTTTCCATCTCCATTGACTGCAACTGTCAACTTGTGAGACCCCCACCTGGGGTTAGGGGTGTGACCCGTGCACAACTACTCAACACGACACAGGCTGGGGCTCTATGTTGCTGTCATGGGAAAGGCCACCGTGCATGACACCTTATGTCAGGAGTGACAGACAGTCACAGGCAACCAGTTACTGGGCAGCATGGTTTGGCGCCCCTTGCAGACCAGCACTCCAGGCCGCTGCCGGCTGGCCCATCCCTCAGTTAGGCTCTGAGGATGAGGGAGCCAGGGGCTAAGTCCCAGTCCCCGCTGTGCCACAAACTCTTGGGGTCTCTGTCGAGAAGAAGCAGAGTTGAAAGAGCGGCCGGGTGACCTCTTGTCTGCTCTGCCTCCAGTTCAGCACCGTGTGCCTTGGACAAGCTGCTTGGCCCAGCCAAGGCTCATTCCCCCTCAGTCACTCATTCAGCAAACACAGGCAACGCCTCCTGTGTTCTTCTAATGATGGGCGAACACCTGCTCTACGCCAGGCACTATTCAAAGCACTTCGTATTTATCCGCTTGTCCAAACCTCAGAGCAGCCTGATGAGGTCAATACTCTTCTTGATGCATTTTACAGACCAGACTTCCTTCTTCCTACTGAAGAGACGACTGTCAACAAGACAGCTGGGCTCTCTGTCCTCGAGCATTACAATCCCCCCTTTAGAGGAAGGATATTAAAGAACTGACCTCCTAGGGTTCCCTGGGGCTCACCTAGGCAATGTATTGCCACTGCTGGATAGAACTTTGCATGTGGTTAGTGCTCAGCACATGAGCTATTATTAGACAGTAAAATCAAGACAACAGCACTGCTTTTCTCTTACGAGGGTCTCGTGGATTAAAAGTGGCTGCTGAGGTGAAAGTCGGTGAATTATCAGGAAAATGCAAGAGTCAGAAATCAAATTGCCACTGTGGGGCCATGGCTGGTGTTCCCGCTGACAAAGGACGTGCTGGTCAGAGTGGGCAGGGTGGGTGGGTGGTCAGAGGGGCTGGCTGGGAGGGTTCTTATCCTCACAGGGTATCTGCTCCTACTCCAGGAGGAGGAGGTTGAGATCAGTTCCCCGTCCTTATGGGGAAGGTAGCCTCTTTGCCAGCTCCCAGTGTAAGATGAGCCCCAACTTCCCTCCCTCGTGAGGGAGGCTCTGAGGCAGCAGCTGCAGGGCCAGGTCGGGCTGCCTTGGAAGGAAGAGCTGGGGCCCTCCTCTACCTACCCAGGGAGGCAGCCTGAAGACCCCAGAAAACCGTTACAAAGGCACCATCATAACAGAGCTGGGGGAGGCTCACCTCCCACTCACCTCCGTCATGTCTCCGAAGGGCAGAATCTCCAGGTCCCAGGTCAGGGAGCAGCAATGGAGCACCTGGAGGTACCTGCGATGGACAGAGAGCTGAAGGGGCAGGGCCGGGCTGCGGGACCTCCAGCCTTCCCAAGTTTGGAAGGGAAAGGTCTTGCATTCCATGATAAGAACTGTGGTGGACCCAATCCTGCATCTAATGGTAAACCACAGGAGGCTTTTTCATTTCCTTCCTCCCTTCATTTCTTTTAATCTGATACATGCCCTTAGTGAAGACTTGAACAGAACAAAAAGAAGATACAGTGAAAATCAAGTCTCTATCCCATCTTTGACCCTCACTTGCTTTCCCTGGAAGCAGCCACTTTACAGTTTCTTATGTATTTATTCAGAAATAATCCAGTCATATGTGTCTCTGCGCAGCATAAATAGGTTTATATTGTTTTAATGGCACCATAATATTCCATTATCCGGCTGCACGGTGAATTATTTAGCCAGTGCCCCCCGATGGACATTTGTGTTGTTTCTAGTCTTTTGCTACTATAAACAATGCAGTGTGAACATTCTTGTAAATGGGTCTTTGTGTTTGTGGGTAAAATTATCTATGCATCAAACACCAAGCAGTGGGTTTGCTGAGGCAAAGAGTTGGTGCACTTTTATTTTTGGCAGACATTTCAACACTGCCCTATGAGTCGAATCAATCTGAAAGGAGAGCAATGACAAGATGAGAGCTGTGTGTTTGGACAGCTTCCTGAAGCGGGACACAGGGTGGAACAGAGCAGAAGACTGGAGACAGGGAGCCAAGGGCTGGGGCAGTGGGAAGAGTTTGAGAAAAAGATCACAGACCACAACTGGAGGGAGGTGGAGAAGAAGAGAGACCTACAAGAGATGTTTAGGAGATAGAGCTGCCCAGGGTTGGCGACCAACTAGATGTGGAAGAGAGGAGGAGGCGTCAGGCTTGCCGGGTGCACAGTTCACTGACACCATTAAACCGAATTGGGAAACTTGGGAAGAGAAGCAGAGGGGCTGGCGGTTGGGCACGCAGGGGCATCATGAGTTGGTTCTGGAGCTGATGTTGAGGAGCCCACGGAACAACCAGCTGGAGACAGCCAGTGTATACACCTACGCATCTATGCTCTCAGTGTTGTTACTGGGGGCAGATTGCAAAACCCAGCAAATAGTCAAAGGAGGCCAGAGTGCAGCACAGTTGGAAGCACAGCTGTAGCGTTCAGGGCAGTTTTCATGGGTCCTTCACAAAACAGACTTCACTCGGGATTTCCAAGCACATGTCTGGAGCAGGTCAACCCAGGACCTGGGAGGGAGAGGCCACAAAGGGCACGGAGGGATACGGATGGGAGGTGGGCGGCCCTGCGGGCTGTCAATCTAAACTCATTTCCTCCACATGGCACAACCTCATCACCCCATCTGTTTCACCTGTTGACTGATGGGTCAGGAATTAATCAATACAATTGTGGGAGGGTTATTGGCAGCCATATAGCATAAGAGTTAAGTGTGAAGTTCCTGAAAGCCACCAGGTTCATATCCTGCTGGCTCTATCATATCCTCCCAGCTGTGTGACTTTGGGCAAATTATTTAACTTCTTGGGGCCTCAGCTGTCTCATCCAGAAAATGAGTATGATGATAGTCTTCCTTTCACAGTGAGGAGGAACCATGGTGATGCATATAAGTGAGCACACTGCCAGTGTTAGCAGTTGTCAACTGACTATTATCAGCTGGGGGTCCCTCCCCAAACCACCACACACCCCCATGTCCCTCTCCGCCCCTCCCAGAAGCTTACCGGGCCTCGTCATACTGGCCTCCCATGAGGATGTTCTCCCTGACGCTGCCCGCGATGATCCAGGCCTGCTGTGGGACATAGGCCAGGCTTCCGTGCACCCCCACTGAGCCCTCCAGCAAGTGCATCTGCAGCAGAGTGAGTCCAGCCTCAGGACTGGGGTGGGACAGTGGACAGACCCTGCCTGGCTCAGCAGCCACAGTGCCCAGGGCCCCACTGCCCTCCAGGACCCTAGGGGATCTCCTATGTAAATAGGACTTTTAACTTGGTCCTGCCAGGCCCACCAGTGAGCCTGAGGGAGGCGCTGAGGACATGGGCAGGAGGGGGAGCTACGCAGCCCTGTTCCTGCTGTGACTGAACCTCAGTTTGCATTGAAGACACCCCATACTTCTTCTCTTCTTTCTCCAGCCCCATTCTCTAGCAAGAAGCACCTCCCTGCTCGTCACAGTGAGTCGGAAAGTTCCAGGCCTTCTCTGAGCATCCCTGGATATCACAGGATTATTACTAATGTTGTCAGGTGTGATAATGTCATCATCGTTAGATGGAAAATGTCCTATTTTTTGGACATCATGATGAAGTTTTTAGTGGAAAAAGTGTCATAATCTCTGTAATAAAATAGTTCTACACAATATGTTTCTGCATAGATGTGGGAAACATGCCAATGGGGTCAACTGTTGATCTAGGTGGTGAGTATAGGGGTCTTCAGTGTGGTGTCCTTCCTGCTCTTCTGTATGAGAAGGTTAAAAACACACCCTAAAGAAACATAACGGCCATAACCCCATCCCCGTCACCTCAGCACAGGACCTTGTCACCCTGTGCTCCTTTCTCTTTCTTACCCTGTGCTGATTCTGACGTGGAGTCGCACTTTAATTAATAAGAACAAAACTTTACAATGACATCTTTGTGTCTTCCTTTATTGGGAGCAAAGTGGTTCATCTGAAGAGGAGACTGACAAACCACTATCACGTAGACAGGTGGCCTTGAATGGAAGCCGACAGGAAAGGCTGCTGTGATGAAAAGCAAAGCTCCCACAGCGGGTGGACCTGGTTTCAGCCCTGGCTCCAGCCCTTACCTGCTCTGTGACCTTGGGCAAGTCACCTCTCTGGACCTCATTTACTCGTCTGTAAACTGGCCCTAATGACTGTGCCTTCCTCATAGGTTGTTTTCAGGGTTGAAGGAAAAAATGAGATGCTCTTAGCACAGGACCAGGCATGTAAGTACTATTTAAACTATTTTTACTATTTAAAAGAAGAAAAAGTAGTCTTTCTTCTCCCCAGCTCCAGGACACGTGGAGCACAACGAAATGATCTGCCAGACTGATGTATTAGGAGAGAATTGTACAGACAACGTGACCACATCCCAAGGAGGCGCTGAGTTTGGTATGTACATTTGGGAGAAGGAGCTGAGGGTGAGCTGAATAAAGGAAGGACCTGCTAGTTCTCCCAACAATGGGGGAAGGAGGGATGATGGCATCCTCTGACAAAGGAGGATGAAGAGAGAGACGCCCCAGGACGGGGTGAGGCTGGGGCTGAGTGGGGAAGAGCTGGTGAGAACCCCCATGGGGAGGTGGCCAGAAACACGTACCAGGTGTTGTGGCCATTGTGAGGTGTTGTTGGCTGCCAGGTGTGCAATGTCACCTTAAATGTTTGGGGGAATGGGAGGGCTTTTTCAGAAACTGGAGAAGGGATGGGCTGAGCCACATGTCTGCATGGCTGTAGACTAAGCATACCTCAAGAACGTCCACAGGCAATGGAATTGGAGGGTTCAGGTCTCAAGGGCAGGGGTACCCAACAGGCATGTACGTTACACTGCTGGGCTACCAGTAAGATGGCCCATCCCATCCAGAGGGCCATCTCTCCACCCCCTTCTCCCTTCTTCCTCCTCCTATCTCCCTGAACTTGGCCCTCCTGATGCTGCCTCACAAGGGACACATGTCCCACTCTGAGTTTGGCCTCGTGAAATGACTTTATTATCATTTTGGAGACACCCTGTATCACCACCCTGATAGCTGGTTGATTACAAAACAGGGTGGGGAAAGCAGAGAGAACAGGCGAGGATGGATCTTCAGGTGACCTCTCAGGGTCAGGAGGAAGCACATTTACAACTCACCTTCCCCTCAGCGCACGCTCAACCGTTTTCAATTGACAAAAATTTTATGGGCTCCGACTCCCATGAGGAAGACAGTGATGGTGTGACTTACTGGGCGACTCCAGCTTGGGAGCCCCTGGGACTGCCTGTGGGTGGACACGCATGGGTCACAAGTCTCTTACCTCCTCCAGGATGGCTGACAACAGGCTGCTCTTGCCACTCCCAGTGTTGCCACAGACCCCTACCATGGTCCCCTGCAAAGCCAAGGAGGACAGACAGGCATTGGGACAGCACAACCCTCCTACTCGCCCAAGGAGGGTCTATTGTTTGAACACAAAACAACAAACAGAAAACAAATTAGCCACCTACCCTAAGGCCCCTCAGATGAGCAAAGCTCAAGAGGACCTCTGAGGTCAGTCTGTGGAGGTGGGAAGGGGCAACCTCAAGGGCAGGAAGTTGCATGGAAGTGGCAGAGAGCAATTCATGGATAGGTGGCCCTGTTGGGCAAGAAACCCAAATTCCAGATCAGCATCTATTCTACTCTGTGTTCCTGGGCAAGTCACTTAGACTCTCTGTGTCTCAGTTTCTTCATCTGTAAATTGGGGATAGTGAAGCCAGTCTCACAGAATTCATGCCTGCACTCATTCATTCATTCATTCATTTGACAATCAAATAGTCATTTGAGGTTCTTCTACATACCAAGTAATGAAGAAAAGAACTCTCCTGAGCTTACATTCTAGTGGGGGAGGGGAGACAAACCATGAAACAAATAAGCAAACAAACAAACAAATAAATAGTCAGATGGTGATAACTGATATAAGTAAAATGAAGTCGGCTACTATGACAGAGAGTTGGGTGTTAACGCAATTTTAGATGGGTTGGCCAGGGAAGGCTTCTTAAAGCAGTGCCATTGTAGCTGAGACTTGAATGACTAGTAGGATCCAGACACAGGAAGATCTGGAGGTTCCAGGCTGTGGGAACAGCAGGTGCAAAGGTCCCGAGACAGGAACAAGGTTGGCTGCCAAAGAGGTGTGAGAGGGCTGGTGTAGCTGGTGTGGAGGGAACGAATGGGAGAAAAGGTTGGAAGGGTCTGCAGGATGCTCGGGAAACCTCGGCTCCATCCTAAGTGCAGTGAGAAGTCACTGAGGGGTTTAAGGAGGAGAGTGACTTGGATTGGTTTGTGGTTTAGAAGGATCCCTCTGTCCACCGTGTTAGTGGATCATAAAAGGACAAAAGTGGAAACAGAGAGGCTGGTAAGGCTTAGAGGAGCTGGGAAGGCATGATGGTGGCTGGGGCTAGGGCACTGGAGGGGACTAGGGTGAGAGGTGACTGGGTTCAGGAGAGATGTCGAAGTAGAGCTGACAGCCCTCGCTGATGGATAGGATTGGCAGGAGGGAAGGAAAGGAATCAAGTGTGACTTCCAGGTCCTGGACCACTCAGGTGCTATCTCCTGAGGTGGGGAAGACTTGGGGAATGGGTCAGAGGGGGAATATCAAGAGTTCTGTTTTGGCCTGGTTGTCTTTGAAATGCTTGGTAGGCATTGAAGAGGAGAAAATTAAATAGACAGTTGAGTCTAGAGCTCAGAGGAGACTTCAAGGCTAGATATAAAGCATAGAAATGAAATTTAAAGCCATGGGATCGCCAGGGAGAAAATTTAAATAGACAATGAATATTAGACATTAATGTCTATTACTATTGGTTGCTAATGTGGATTACTATTAGATATTAATATATTTTTAGATATATCTATCAATAGATATTGATAGCTGTATCTATTAGTGTTAGATATTAATATCTATTACTAGATTTTAATAGATAATAGAGAAGAAAATACAGAGGGGAGATTTGGACAGAGCAGGGAAGCTAGCCTTTGCAAACATTAGTCAGAGAAGAAGCCAGATAGGGTGAGTTCACAAAATAACCAAATTGAAACATGTAGGATAGTGCCCGGCACATACCAGCAACTTCATAAATGTTGGTCTAATCTCCTTCTCCTTCTCTGCTCTGTGTCCTTGGTCCCTCCAAAGACCAGCACACATATAGCATACTATTCTGGGTCTTGCCATTAAAAAACAATTTTACACGATCCACTGATTCACACCAAAGGATGAAAGACTTCCTGTATTTTTCCTCCGTGAAAAATTTGTATTTTAAAGGGAGATGTGGAGGAGGCAATTTTTAGCTAAGGAAATGGTGGGGTGCCAGGCCAAGCTCCTAGCCTCAGGCCCCAAAAGTCTGGCAGCCATCTTGCATACATGGCCTGAATGAGGTTACCTTTGACACCACCAGGTTTATCTTGTGCAACCCTGGGGCCAGGCTGTCCCCTTCATCCTCTGGCCTGAGGACACCTGGAGGTGGCCGCGCCCTAGTCATCCCCTTGGGAGTATGTCTGTTTCTTTCCAGCTCCAAGGCTCCCTTGACAATCCTGGGGCAGGTCTGTAGCCAGGACAGGGAGGCCTCCTCCAAAACCAGTGCTTTGCTGGGATCTTTCAATGCCTGGACGTATAAAACAGGGCTCTCTTGGAGGAAAAACTTCTGCACAAATGAAAAGAAAGGGAGAGAGGAGGAATTCAGTTCTTGAGTCCAGTAGGAACGTGTGCCCAGTTTGCTGGCCTGCCTGTTGGTCTGGTTTATGAATTTATAATAAACAGTAAAAGTTTGAAGAACCATTGCCAATTATGAGGGGCCCAGTTTCTGCTGGTGAAAATTCTAAATCCAGGTTTTCCAAATTTCAGACCTCTAGGCCACTCTTTCGTATTTGCATACTACCCGCTCTCTTAGTTCTATTCTGTTCTATTTTACAGTGACTAACGGCCTAACCCACATTAGCCTCTTCTGAAGTGATAACAGCTGTTGACTCGTAGTATTGATGTGTAGTTTCTCTAATGAAAGTTCATTCATAACTATTAAAAGTGAACAGTCTGCCCATGTACTAGAGTGTTGTTTCGGGTCATACATTGCAAATCCTGACCATGGACAGCTCCCTTCTCTCTGTGTCTGTCCCCATCTCCCTGTCTGTAAAATACAGGAGTTAGTTGAACTGTGTGTGAATCGAGCACTAAAAAAGGTGGGTGGGAATATGATCTCATGGAAGTCAAATTATATTCACATGTCTCTACCTGGAGATATGCTTAGAAAGAGATGTAGAAGGATACTTCTTGACATTTGGGATGATGGTTTTATCTCTAGGTAGAGGATGCTGAGAAACTTTTATTCCTTGTACCTTTTCACATTGTCTCAACTTTTCAGAATGAGCACATAGCATTATAAAAATAAAACAAAAAGGTATTTTCAAATGAAAAAAGTGCTCTGTTTCTTTTTTTAAAATTGGATCTCAGGTATTTTGAATTGGATTAATTATAACATTTGGGTCAGGGCATACAGTGATCATTGGGAATTGCACAGCCCCCTCTATTTCATTTAGTTAGTTGGGCGCTTACTGTTTCATTATTTTTAAGAACATAATGAATATCCGTGAGCCCACCACTGAACCCAAGAGCAATAACTTTGACCTATCTCTGGGGTCCTTGCCCATCTCATTCCCCTGCTGGGTGTGGGTGAAGCCCTCCAAGTCCTCTCCCCAGGGCAACAACTGTCCCAAATTTTACAGTTTTCATTCCCTTGCTTTTTAAAAAGAAATATATATATCACATACATTGTATCACATACAAACACAATTTGAGTAGCACGATGGCTTAATGAGTCAGCGTGACAAGCACACATCTCGATATGAATGAATCCTGATAAACGGGTTTATGGGGAACAAAAACAGGGAGTCCTCACACCCCAAAAAGCTCTAAGTAAATTCTCAAACTCTAATTTTGTCCATGCCATTCAGTGCTTTTCACTTGGTTTTCAGTAAATGGCACAAAGGAAAGATAGTCTCCAGACCCTCCCACAGTGCACACCCTGGGGGCCTTCTCCAGAGCCCAGTGTGCACCCTCTGCAGCTCCCAGCATCCAGCTCTCCTTCTACCTGAGGCCACCTGCAGGAGTCCTCCCCGAGGGCTCACAGTTCTCTTGTCCCTGCCTCTGGAAGCTGGCTCCCTGGTGTCCAAGGACCAAAGGGCACAGGGCACTGAGACACAGTGCCCTCACAGCCCCAGGCACACAGAGGAGGAAGAGGGAGTCATGGCCTTGGGGATCATGCCTCCTCCTTCCAGCCTGGGGCTTTCAGAGTCAAATGCCTAAGGGGCCAGATAGACAACTTAAGTGACTGAAGCAGGAAGAGTTGAAGATGGCTGATGAGTGAGGGGACCTGAGTGACCTCCCCATCCAAAGGGGCAGCCCTGCCAGCTCGAGGCTCTGATGCCACGAGGAAGTTCAGCCCAGGGTTCCAGATCTTTGCCCTGAGACCTGTCCTTCCTGCCTCCTCATCTCCCACCATGACTGCATCCATCCCACCCCCTTCCCACTCTCTAGCCACAGGCTCTTGGACCTCCAGGCTGTCTCTCCAGCCATTCCTTCAGTGAACACCCCTACCCACCCTTCTCAGCCCAGGTTGTAGCTTCCTCATCTCTGCTCACCCAGCAGGTGAAAACAGGCACCACAGGGGAGGATGGGAGAAGCCAGTGCAGCAGTGGGAGGAGGAAGGTGGCAGGGGGCCCTGAGGGCAGCAGGGGAGAAGTGAGGGGGCTCCTGGGGCGGTGGATGGTAGGGCTGTCGTGTGTTATCAGACAAGCCAAGTCCACCAGCTCAGGGCTTTTGCACTCGCTGTTTCTTCTGCCTGGTCCTCATCACTCAGCTCCAAAGTCACCTCGGCAGAGGCCCTTCCCTGACCAGCCACCCAAAGAGCCCCAGCCCTCCCCACTCACTCCCTAGAATATCGCACTGTTTATCGGCCTCATAGCTCTTCATCTGACCTGATGTTGTCTTCTTTGCATTAACGTGCTTGTTACCTGTCTGTGTCCAGGACCAGGTTGTAACTCCCTGAGAGCAGGGACCCTGTTGGTCATGCTCACTGTGGTATTCTCAGAGCCTGGCAGGCGGCAGGTGTTCAGTAAATATTTTTTGAATAAATGAATGCATGATATAGATCGGGGACTGAACGCATTTAAGTGAGATGACTATAAAATATCTTTTAAAATTTGGTTTAGATTAGAGTTTTTAAACTCAGATGCCTGGAGGAGAAAGACCAGCTATGTAAAGAAGTGAAGTAGCCCATTGTTACAATGACAAATGATAAGAAAAACACAGCCCCAGTGTTCAAGTTGAGATAGGGCATGGCGGAGGCAGCAGCAAACTGCATCTAAAACCCACATCTACACAGGGCAGCTATCACCTCTGCTCCAGCTGCTTGCGGCCAGGAGAGAATGAAGGTCCACTTGTCAGATCTTTTGATTATTCAAGAGAATCCAGAAATCTGAGTTTTTATATGCAATGTCCAGGTTTTTAAATGCAGGCAATAGGTATGATTTTTTTTTAAAGAAGAACCATTGGGGTAACCCGACAGACCTGGACAGAGCTTGCAGACCACCTGTCTGAGACCTGGTTGGGATACACTATCCTAAAAATTCCTTGTGGCCGGAGAGCTGCCCTGATTTATCCATCTTCCTGTCACCGACTAGTGCCCCGATGAACTCAAGGGTGGGTTTGGAAGCATTTAACTGTATTCCAAGTTGGGTTTTTATGTAAGGAGACACAACCAGCAACCACCTTGAAGCTAACCAAGCCCCCCTACAAGAGCTACGCCTTGCAGCTCTTGTATGACCTTGCCTTATTTTTAATGCAAAGACCTCTTTAAAAGGAGATTAAGCCTCATTACCATAATCTGCAGTGTACCTGCCTCTACCTGTTGAATATTCATTCCCTAACCAAAATAAATGTTCCTGCTTCCCTTTGTTCAGGGACACCATGACTTTGGAAATGATTCCTCATGGCCTCCTATTTGCTGCAAATACACTTTACTTTATGAGACAACTTCCACTGGTGTAGAGTCTTACTCAGCTCACCAGGAGGTGAGCTCACTTGGTTGGTAACAAATTGGTGACCCAGATGGGACATACCCCTTCGTGGTCCCTGTGCCAAAGGCTTGACATTGCTGCTCTGTAGGGAGACCCAGTAGCCACACTTTTCTCGGAGGATCTCTCCATGGAGGTGAGTGGCGCCAACCCCAGGACACGGCTATAAGAGTTGTTTCCTTAAGTTGATTCACAAAGCCTGTCTGTTGGGGCCTGGCTTTGGGGTTTGAGTCCCCACCCGGAGGTAGCCTGGCTCAGGGGAGTGAGAGTCCCCTCTGTTTGGAAGGACTGCACGACCCGGCCACTCCAGAAGGGCCGATGCTTGGCTCTGCGAAATGGGACCAATCCCTAGTGACTAATCAGGGATCAAACCCCATCTGGATATTGAATCTCATCTGGAGTGTACTGAGTCTGTCTAGGGGTCAAATCAGCTCTGGAGATTGAATCTCATCTGGAGTGACGAGGTGGGGGTTTGAGGCCCCCTGAGGTCACTGAGTCTGTCTTTCTGTTGTGCCTGTGATCAGAGGAGGGGTCCCCTTGGATGGGGTTAAACCCCTCTGGAGTGGCTGAGCCTGTCTTTTCATTGTTGTTTGTTTGTTTGTTTGTGTGTTTTGGTCAAGGATGCTCAACATTAATGTTTTTGTCGAGGATGCTTGACATTTTCCACAGTCTGGTTTTTCTGGACTCCTAGGTCTTTCTTTTTTTCCTTGCTCTCCTTATCAGTGGTTTCACCCAGCATCCACCCATTTTATTTTCCCTTTAAGGATTTAGTTACATGGCCTGGGTCTAGTTTCAGGCTATTAGGGTGCTAAATTTCCTTTGGGCACAACCTGTGGCATCTGCATCACCACTAACCGTTACAGGATGCGCATGGGAGGTTGGAAACAGACCATAAGAAAAGACGCTGGTCCACAGTCAGAGAGCTCTTGCAATGACTAGTCTTAAGACGTTAATCAAATTTGGAGTCTAAGCCTCCTCCCATGGTCTTAATGAAAGCTCCACATCCCACCTCCACCCCTGGGACCTCTCCTCTGGGTTCTGGTTTTGGAGAGTCTGTGCTCCATTCCTGGGAGCTCTCCTCTGGTTTGTGGGCACCTGGAGTGATTCCAGGTTGGCCCCTGGGTCAGTCATTTGACTGACAGTCTGGTACCTTGTTTAGTCTCCTGTCAACAACCTGTTGAGTATTTTAGGCACCTACTGAGTTAGTTGTGGGGACAAGAGACCTGTATCCTGTAAACCGTCCTTCAGGCTTGTGTTGCCCCAGCACTGGAACTGCTGTTTGTGTGATCCTTATCTTGATAATCCTTGGGAAGAGGCCGTGAGGGCAAAGCCTAATCACCTTTTTCCCTTCTTTGTCTGTCTCGTTCATCACTTCCTCTTTCGTCAGCAAGTTATGGTTAAGTTCAGGCTGGACCTGAGCAGAACCTGGACCTTCTGTAAAATTGAAAACTTGAAAACCTTTTGCCAGGGACTTAACTCTCAACCCCGGCAATAGGAGCCCTGGCCCCAGCCCGCTCTAGGCTTTTGCCTCTGGCCTCCCTGGCTTGCCTTGTGCTGGCTCAGGGACTAAGTGCCC